CTTTCCTTGGTATGTTCGGCTGGCTAGTTCGTTTTCTGTTGATCCTCCTTCTTCAGCCCTTTGTTTCTTCGCGCATTACAAGTTCCCTTGAATATTTCCTTGCATTTTGTCTACCATGCGTTTTCCTCTCCTGCGTTTGCCTTTTTCAATGCCTAATAAGGAGGTTAAGGTGTGTTATTCTTCCACTTTGAGAGGAGCGCCATTGCTTCCCTGTCATACTTCTTACAACTCATTTGCATGTTTTTGGTCAAGGCGATCACCCCGTTCATGCGAACAGGGCCATCTCCAAGTCCCGAAACGTGTCGCTTGCCAATTCGTAGGCGCAGATTCCACTTTTCCATTTTTTCTGCTACGTCACTGTGAGCCTTTTCTGCGCCACTGGAATTAGTATTCCAAATCGGCTTCCGCTCTCACTTGTGTCCTGGTTTGGCGCCGTCACTAATACGGTCGCCCTCAGCGAGTGGTTGCCACAACCAGGCCACTCTCCGGATGGCATCCCTTTCTCAAACGACAGGTCGCGCTCTAAGCGCTTGACGATGGCGGCAAGGGCGGGCGAGTTCCTCGGTCGCGTTAGGGTGGGCCTCGGATCCGCGGTCTCCACCGCGTCCTCGACAGGTGGCAGGTAGACATGTCAGCCTTCGCTCCGGTAGGAGTGCTGTAAGTCATTTAGTTCACGTCATCCTTACGGGGGCTAGTGGGGTTAAGCATAGTGTAACACACAGCGCACAGCGGCAGCACAATGCACTATGATTCCAATTGACGGCTCCGGACAAGATGGGCTAGCCACGCCTACAAGAGACACGATTTTAACCAAGTAATAGTCCTAATTACGGGAGTCCACGCTTTGCTAGGCATAATTGAGACGCCAGAGTGGCTTCAGGCTTCATCTTACAGCTTTATTGGCAGTTAAAGCCCATTAGTGGAGAGACCGCAACCGAGAGAGGAGCGCACAGAATACAATCAACGGCAACCGTGCTGTCCATACTACTATTACTACTATCATTACTAGTAGTAGTGTAGTAGTAGTAGTAGTAGTAGTAGTAGTAGTAGTAGTAGTAGTAGTAGTAGTAAGTATTATGTATAACGAAGTCCTTAAATTTTTAATTTTCAAACATTATATTTCTCTGTAAAGAGAGCGAATGACCAAGTCAAAGTCAGAAAACTCTACAGGGGATTTCAGCGCAGACCAAGACAAGATAAAGAAAAGTTTGTTCAAGAAAAAAGCGAAGAAGTGGTAGAATATAACAAATGGAGTTCTTATGGAATTTTTCAGGTCATCCGAAAAATGACCACGAAGTATAAACCAACATTGGCGAATGTTAAGAACGAGAACGACAAAATAAATACAACAAAAGAAGAGATTACGAAAAGATTGGAAGAATACACGAAAACGTTTTATGAGAAGAAATTACAAAGAGAGTAGTTGATAAATATAGATTACGAAAAATAACCAGAGATAGAAGAAATGCATTGGCGACAAAACCAAAAAAAATGGGATGTCCCCGGCTATAGATAATATTCAAATCGAACTATTCAGAGATACAGGGGAAGAAATCTTGGTTTTTATGCCATGGGCATACCAACCCTGAGGAAGACCACGACAAAATGGCCAAAAAGTCGGTAACACAGCCTTCGACGCGACGTCATCCGGACAGCTAAGATCATGCACTTTTTTAAATTTGTCCGAAAGTACGAAAACATTTTTGAAATTAGCTTCGGCTATTTTACTTGAGAAGCGAGATTCACCAGATGAACTTTTTAAAGCAGGTCGTTTTGAGATCAAAATTCGAGTTGTGCTCCGCATATACTCCGCTTATTCTCTCCGGTATTGGAACCCGCAGGATCTTAGAGCAAGGTGGAATGATAACAGAACGTGAAATGACAATTCAATTACATTGCACAAATGTATTTCCAAAAGTTTAATAAACCACATATTTAAATATCACTGTCATCTGTCGTACATATGATACTATGTTAGTACAACGGAAGTATACTGTTTTCCAATAATGAACAGTAAATACCACCTTTTTCTGTGTAAATGGAAATATAGGAATAGAAGACGGGTGTTTCACAATCCAAAAATCTTGCTTGGGTTAAAAAGTAAAATAGGTTTATATAAAGTAACAAAATAAACACACCTACCCTAATAGACTTCATGAATTAATTTAAAAAATCAACTAAATTTAAAATTATAGAAAAAATATCATTCGACAACTGAATACGATCACGCGATCAGTGCGAGCCAATGACCTACACACACCAACATATGATAACCTTCAATGACTCGATCGTGAATCATTTCCGATGTAATAATACCAATAAAAAGTAGGAAGCAGGTATCGGGTATATGGGTCAGCTATATAAGGTATACTTTTCGTTGCATGGAAAAGTTATCTAACTTTCAATACAAGTTTCTATTTATAGGACAACCAGGGCGACGGTACAATACAATGGAATGAATTTAGGAAATTTTGCCAGACAATTTTCCCCTGAAAATTCTATATCTTGAGATCTTAATCTTTATTGTTAACACGTGAAAATGTTCCTTCGTAGCCATTTCAATCGCAAATTATTTATTATGAAGAAACAAAATATTTAAGTGTGCACTTAAATATTTAGTGTCAGTTACAGAAAAACTAAGAAAAAATCAAGTCGCGCTGTAATGTATGTTATTTCTGAATGGATGTATAGAAGCATTTTAATATTATCAATGCAATACTGTATTGCATTGCGATGTACCAAGCTTTTGTCAGGCGCAACGACCTAATTTTGCTGATTAATAATCTGCGAAAGAAGCCTCTGTGACAAAAGATGTTTTCTCCCTCAGTTCGTTCCCTCACACACCCTCCCTACGTCATAAACAAACGTTTTTGTAGAACGACCCAGGCGGACACGCTGTGCACAGGCCGAGCCAGCTGCGCCATTTTTTGTTCCTTTCTGTCATAGCGTCAAAGTGGGAGGAGGCCCTTTACGTACAATACCCAATTAGTCAACGCTCGCCCTCTCTCTCTCTCTCCGAAGGCGCCACATTTTTGCGCCCAGCCCCACCGATCGCAATCGGGGAACGTCAATGCACTACGTGCGGAAACTTGCATTAATTTTGCGTGAAAGTACTATAAACATGCTCCGGAATACGACACCGGGCGCTCGGAACCACTCACACATCATCTCAGAAAGAAAAGATTTCAATTACTCCCATGAGGCAGCATCCGCGCATCTCGCAAGCAGAAGCAGGCCACCCCGGAGTGCAGTGACAAGGGCACTTGCCGCGCGTGAATGTCACGATTATCAGAGCGGAAAGCCCTTTCTAACAAAGGCTTCTACGCCTCAGCAAAACACCGAAGGTTGCCGCAAGCTACGCTTCAGACTGACATACGGGAGATGAGCTGTCAACATAGAAAACAGCAGCATAGCGAGTATTCATAGCCACTGCCAAATTCCACCATCTAAGAAAATAGTCGCCACGCTAATGGTTCGGCATTTCAGTCTGCTATAACACCGTTACTGTGGTGCGAATACGCCTGCATCACGCACCTGTAATTACGCTGTACGCTCTCGTGGCTCAGTCGCTTGCCTTTCACCGCTGAGGTTCCGGCTTACCCTCTCTTACCTTACCCCTATCCTTATTCCTTTCCAATTCTGGCAAATGACGCAGGACGCGCGCGCCAAGACGCTACCTGTCACCGATTCCCTGGAGATTATATATATATATATATATATATATATATATATATATATATATATATATATATAT